CACACACACACACACACACACACACACACACACACACACACACACACACACACACTATATTCTATTATGTCAAAAATTAAACATTCCTTCCAGCTTGTTTTTTGTGGTTGGATTTCTATTGCCCAAGCATCATCTTATCTTCCTGTTTTTCTCAAAGATGTGACAGATTTAGTTTTTCTCTCAAGCATTTTAAACAATAACTTTTAAAGATGATGGACCTATAATTCAGAAAACTCTGAATTCAGTTTTCTTAAAGTATTCATATGATTTCTTGTCATTCTTATACATGCATACTGCTATGTATTTCTTAAAATACTCATAAGAGAGAGATCATACTTTAAAAAAACACATCAGCTCTTCCTTAATTACTTGAAAAAGAAACCTTAATTAAATCAGATTCTGTGGTGTGAAAAGCTATGGGGCTGCTGCCATATTTATATCACTACTTGAATACTAAATCAGTATTTTGTCCATAGAGTTGTCAAAAAATTGGGAGTATTACATATGTAAAAAAACTTATGCTATTCACATAGTTTCATGTTGGAGGAAAGGAATGGAGACTTTAGACTAAATGATTACATTAGCTTACTAGTTATGAATTCCTGATGGCAATACACCACCGGCAGAAATCCAAAAATGAAGTAAAAGTGATGATATAAGCAAACCTATAAGCAAACTTAAAAATGCAAGCACTTTGGAGAAATTCCAAGTTAGACTAGGAATCAATAATTATTCATGCTTCTTAATAATGTATACAGAAAATGTTTTTAAAGAATGCAGTGAGATTGCTTTCCAGCCTTATGCCAACAGTTTTTTCTTGATCTGATAAAATCTATGAGCATTTGACTCATTCCATTTTGTTTTTTAAATAAAAGCAACTGAGCCAGACACTCAAAGTACAATTCTGTGCATGTTTACTATGAGTAAGCTTCACTAAACACAATAAATTTATTTTCAACAAACCATGGAGTAATGAGCGAGATTCTTATATAATTCCCCCTTCACTCTGCAAAAACTTTCTGTTTGCTTTGTACTGGTTGCAAGTTATATTTTCTAAGTTGGAATGAAGATTGTAAATGACAGTTGTGATCTTTGGCAGGAATTCTCAATGCAGTCATACAGTCTTTGTTTGGGGGGATTGTTTTTGAAAGATTGACTATTTTTATTTGCTGGGGGATTAATTTTTAGTAGATTGTTTTATTGAGCTTGCACATTCTTTGAAATGTAAAAATAATGCTTTATTTCCAATTTTGGGGTGCATTGCCCCCCTTTTGCACTTTCATTCTTACAGATCTTTCTATATTGAAGTATTGAATTATACTTATCTCATTTGATAGTATTCTAAATGTTATTGTCTCACGGTTGATCCTCCTCTTACCGGAATGGGACAACTTGCCATGGCAAACTCACCGCTCCAATTTGCTATGGTCAACTCACTGTGGCCAGCTCGCCATGACCAATTTGCCATTGGGCAATTTGTTGTAGACAATTTGCTGCGGAAGAACTCACTATAATGCAATTCAATTTTATTTAATTATTTAAAATAATTTTAAAAATATTTTAATAGTTGTCATTTACATTTCATTTTGTCCCTCCTTTTGCATCCTTTCTTTAATGATTCTATTTCACCATTTCTTCAATATTATGTAACTTTTGTCCCGTGGCAAGTTGGCTGTGGTGAATTGCCCCATGGCGAGTTGGCCACAGCAAGTTGGCTGGGGTGAGTTGTCCTATACTCCCTCTTACTGCTGTCCTCGCAAATCCCTAGCCCTTAATTGCCATCTTCTTAGAATTCTTTCATTTGATAAGCAAAGCAGTCTATAATCATCCTTTCTTGATCCCAAATGTTCTTACAGCTCAAAATTAACAGGCATTTTGGCTCAGGTCTTTCATCTTGATTGCTCCCAACTCCAGTTACATTGGGGAACTTGTTGTTGAACTATGGGAAACACATTGTACATGTTTAAAAACACCTTTTGTATTGCTGTGTCTTTTTATGCTGTAGCCCTGAGTCCTACAGAAGAAGGAGCTATGTAATACACTAAAAGTCCCAATGGATATTGATCCAGTCTGAGGACAATGGACATATTTCTTCTGGTAGAACATCATGTACCTTTTGTCACATGCATAATGTAAAGGAATATATGGGATGTGATCTTTTCCCAAGCGCATTACAAAAAGTACTTGTGCGGCCTTTGCTATAATTGCCACCCACTGTGTATGCAAATAATCTCCATAGACTATACATCTCCTTGCTTGCTCATTAACAGGGAAAAGTCTGAGATCTTATTATGCCTTTTATCCCCTCTTCCATATAGTGAATTTTATAAGAGGAATACGTACTTAATGATGCATTTAGCTTGCATATTGTTGGGTGCCATCCAGAGTTGCTTTTGGTGAGATGGGCAGTTATAAAAATTGGATAGATAAATAAATAAAATCTATGGTTTGAACTCTTGCCAAGTCAATCCCATTAAGATCTGCAATTGCCTTTAAAAATAATAAGATCACTCCTTTCTAAAGCTTTAATTTTATCTCATAATTCTTTCCCACTACCTACCTACACACTCCCGTTGAAGCTATTATTTTAAAAGGAGAAAAAAGCTTTGGCAATGCTACAAATATTTTTTTAAATTCTTTACGTAGCCGACTAGGTTAATGCTTTAAAAAAAACACCTTCCCATTTTACCCTTAGTCAAATTCAGATCAAAATGTAATGAGTATAACCAGTCTTAGTTAGAACATCTGCAAAAACATATTATGATATAAATCTGCTGTTTGTGAATAGATCAGCTCCCATCTTTCACAAAGGAACCAATGAAAGGGTATTGATATTGGTCATGTGTCACATTCAATCCTTCTCTTGCCTTTACAGTTCCATTTTATTTTATTTATTTAAAAAATTTATATAGCCACCAATCTTTTAACCAGGTCTAGGTGACTCCCAAACAAAGTTCCACTGATTATATTGGCTCTTGTGATGGGGGAATAATTCCTTTCTTTTAGCTTTTCATGGATTTGGAAACTTACGATGGGGAATGTTCAAATTAGCTTGTGCCCAGGATAATCCCACTCAATCCTTATATCCTGGTCACAGTAAACATATTCACCATTCATTTTGGCTTGATGATTATACTGGAAAAAGTAGGTAAATAGACAGGCAAAAGCAGAGATTTCATACTAATTATAATTATATCAAGTTATGTCCAAAGGACACCAAACTTTCCAGAGCTACTGGAAACAGCACTGTAGCTTTGATTATGTTTATCAGCATAATTAGCTTTTACGGTAGTTGTTACAGCCATAATCTTTTAATGTCCATAACAGCAGAAGAAAAGAGATGGAAAACAGGACATAAGATGATGCCTCTTATATTCTAGCCCATTAAAGAAACATTTTGTTCTATGGAGATGGCATATCCTAATGCCAAGAACGTTCCAAAGGTCCTTCTTCAAGAGGCAACTGGGCTTTCTGGTTTTTCTTTGAAGACGTTTTGCTTCTCATCCAAGAAGCTGCTTCAGCTTCAAAGAAGAACAAGAAAGTCCAGTTGCCTTTTAGAGAAGCACCTTTGGGACAACCATGACCTGGATGACTGAGAATCTCAGAAACAATCAGTACAAATATTTCCTCAGTGTTTTCTCTTAGTTTGAGTGAAATTGCTGAGTAAACATATCTTGTATGTTTTCAAAGAACTTTAAGAATCTACTGTATTTTATGGTTTTTCTTTTTTCAAATGTATGTGTAATATTGTATGCTTTCATAATTAGGTTTCCTATTTTGAGATTTACTTGGACAAAATAAGGGACTTATTGGATGGTAAGTAAAGCAGGATTGTATTATTATTTTTAATGCATCCATTAAGTTGTCTTATTTTGTTTTGTTTTCTAAAATCAGTTCTTACCTCTGTATTAAACCTTTAACCCTTGTATACTCCCAAAAAATGCCATTTCTCCCATACTGAACATTTTAAGGATCATTTTAATCAATGAAGTCTGGAGACCCTTCTTAAAATGGTATGTCAGAATCCAGAAAATGGGGTTTCTTAGATGCTTGTGCCCTTCATTGGGACCATCAGAATCTATTACTGAAAAAAAAAATTAAAGTTAAGGAGAAATAACATTCTTTCCCTTGCCAAATGCAGGTGTTCAGGTGTTCACCTCTATGTCTTTTTAGTTCTTTTTCAGGAGTCATTCTCAAGGATATTTTTTCTCACCCATAGTGTTTGTCATTCTGGCATTCTCCCAGTCATCCTTTTCATACTTCTCTTTAGCGTAATTCCATAGGCTTTTGCAATACTCTGTAATGTAATTAATTCTATTCTACTTGAAGCAGTTTCAATATTCCCTCTTCTTCTAAACCCTTTCTGTTCCTGCTGTCACTCTACTTCCCCCGCATTCACTTTCCCTATAATCCCTCAAAACGCCACCAAAAATAATCTGTCTCAAATTCAGAATTTCTGATCAACTTGTAATTTCACTAATTATCTCAATCGTTCATGATAATCAATAAAAATGATATCTGTCTGTCTATCTAAAGTCTGTCTGTCTACCTATCATGTTTTTATCCTTCATATTCATATATAAACTTGTGTTTGAATCATGTATTTGAAAGAGATAAGCTATTTTTAGTCACCAATAATTCCAATCTCTAAATGGTCTAAGAATCTCCTTCTTATCCATCCATTCATTCATGTCATCTAGAAGAATAACTTTTTCCAATTGATCATTTTTATTCAGAGTGTAGTAGTGTTTTCCTACACATTCATATTTTGGTTCTTCCATTATAATTTCCTGGAGTATTACATGCATTTATTTACTCTACCTATTTTTTAAAATTTACATCTCATTGTAATTTATGAATCTTAGCAGCTTCCATAGAATATAATAAAGCAAAAAACAAAACAAAACTATGATTTGACAGGAGACACAGAAAAATAGTGTTTAGCACCCTGTTGCCTGCCAGAAAGGTGTGCAATTCCCCAAGGGACTTTTAGAAATCATTTGGATCCATGAGAACAAATAAAAATATAACAAATAATTAAAAAAGCAAATATCACACATGATTGGGACATCCATCTGGAGAAACACTTTGGTGATGGGGAAATATCTTAGTCCATGGATTTCTACTGGCATCCACAGTGGATGTCAACAATTCTTATGTTCTATCTATCACATATTTATATCCTTTTAGCCTTTTCATTCATAATTAAACTTACATCTCTGCTTTCATGTTTTATCAAATCCACATCAAAAGATCAGCTTAGTTTTATACAAAGCTATTATGTCCTTTCACTTTCTCTTAATTGTACAATTTTATATTTGTGATTCATTTCCTTCAATACATTTTTAATAGAGGCTTCTTTTAACAAGCATTTGTGCATATATTTACTTTCTTCCTTCCACACATTTTAACAAATTGAGTATTTTACAATGCACCACATAGTTTCTAATATCAGGGGAATTATCTGTTCCAATGGAGGGAGATGATCAATGATCAAGCTTGATGATGAAGTCCTTTATTAGAAGACCTCCAAATTGCAATCTTCCATATGCGCTATTTGTCCTCCAATAGACCAATAGATATTGACCTCTGTCACATTGTTTCACATTGGCCAACTTTTTTGTAAGGTAGAGAATATGTGGACAAAGTTACCAACCTAAATGAAATCCTTAGCATGTGTCATATTCCTGTTTAACAATAACTATTTCTATTTAACCAATAGTCAATTTTGGGCTACTTTGTCAGAAAGGTACAGCTAGATTCCAGTTTTGCAGTTTTTTTGCAGTGGAAACAAGGATTTTTAAACTTTTCTTTTCTATATATTTCTACTTTATTATTGATAGCGATCTCCATAATTGTTTTGCTTTAAATGGATTACTTTAAAAAGCATTTTATATAATTATCATCCAGAAGTTGTAGCAGCCATTTAAAGGAATGAAATGGCAAAGTTGAAAAAATTTGTTTTCTTCCTAGCAAATTCCTGTACCCTATCTATAGTATTCCAATCACTAGTGGAACTGGTCTCTACCTTGTTTTTGCCTTATATGTCATATGCAATTCTATATCGATCATAATAAAAAAAAAACTTGTGGACATTTTACATGTACCTTAATTTTTTTGTATTTCATGTTCCTGAGCCTTTCCATATTCATTATTGAGAATATGCAAAACATTACTTATGAAATCATTCCAGTTGTCATTTTGTACCTAAACCAACAAATAGGGTAAAATCAATTTGGTTTGAAATATGCAAATCTTAGATGAAAACTCTATCACTGATTTTTTTTAAAGTGGAACATAAAAACAAACAGATATAATTCAAAATATCTGTTTGAATTATAATTCATTCAGACTTTCTTGCCAGTCTTCCAATTTAAATATATCATTAATTGATGGTCCTTTATGTTTCTTACAGTTTCAAAAACGAATCTTGCAGTGCATGAAGACAAGAACAGAGTCCCATACGTCAAGGTAAAAGCACTTCTACCTATAATGGAAAAAAACCCCATTTTAATTATTTAATTTAAATGCCTTTTGAATTCGTTTGCGATCACATTTACTTTCCTTTTAAAATATGTATGTTGCCTTTCTGCAAATACAACCAAGGTGACTTAACTCTAAGAACTCAAGGTAGTCATTGAAAACAAATTGTAAAATATGCTCAAGGTCGAATAGATGAAAAGATTCTGAATAATAGAAGCCAAAGCCATAAAATGAATAATTCCATGATAAAATTGCCAAAGCAGAAGTCACAGTATTATACAAAATAGTGTAAACAAAAAAGCATACTAATTAAATTTAGAGATGTCTATCTCTTAAAGGTTAAATATATATATATATATATATATATATACATACATACATACATACATACATACATACATATATATATATATATATATATATATATATATATATGT